GGTTACTGTAATGCTCTTGGCTGAGCTAATGCGCGATCGGATAGCTAGCCTTAAGAAGGCGAACGAAGCCGTAACAAAGCGTAGACAGTGTAAGAAGAAGCGGATATAGAAGCAAGGAGTGTTAATAAAGGGAGCTGGAGAAGATCTACTCGCTTAGCGCGAGGCTGATTAGCAGCTTACTTATGAAGAGCGTTAAGGAGGAGAGCGATCAGGTGTCAGCCGCCAGGCTCTGGCGCGCTGTAGTAGGTGTAGAGAGACTGGCCATAACTCACGTACATGTAAGAAAGATACTCTAGCTAGTAATTAATCTACCTTATCACTTTCTATATATTATACTATTGTGTTGTTGAGTTATATGGCTTGAGAGGTGCGCAAAGTTGGTGGGGTGCGTCACTCGCTTGTACGCGTCACTCGCTTGTAAACTACGTTAGTCGTTACAAGGCATTATTTTCCAGCTTTCATGCCCAATCAAATAGTTGATCCATAGCTTTGACTGGATGTATAAGCGCTCCCCAATGCCGAGGTACATCGGCCAGTATATTGGTACCCACGCTTGAGTCAGTGTACACAGGGCAGGCGTATTCAGTCGTTGAGGAGCTACGGTGGGAAAATCGGGCCCATTACTCGTTACCGTCTCTACATAACTCTTTCGGACTAGCGTTAGATGGGCGCTCTGTTATATATATGAATAGTTGTCAGTACTGTATGGAATTCTACCTCATACCCATAGAATGAGAATGGCTGGCTTGGGCGGACGATAGCTTGAGCGTACCAGAGGTTGTATCTCATAACGAACTCACTAGTTTTCTGTACTGCTTTTGGTTTAATAATCAAATAGATAGTTGCGCAACAACAGCTGAGCATACGGCCTAAATGTTATCTGGATAAATTTAATCCTGATACTTTAGTTACCTACATAACCCCCACATGTTAACTCTTATCGTTCAAAAGAGCATACTGGAGACTATTGACTCTATCATTATACTGTAGCTAGTCATCAGACTCAAAACATAGTAGCAGATTTATTTCCTGGTTATCAATAGTGTATCTTTCGGTTGTTCGCCGCGCATGGGCCCTAAAAATGAATTCCTCACTAGCCGTACAGTAGAAGTCATCTTTTCTTCTAAATCGCTGCAGGATACGAGTATGTAGACAAATGAAGATTATCGTGAGTTGGTGTGAGCACTTGTGCTGACGAAACTACTCGTGTATCGTCCTGTGCCGTGCCGTGCCGTCCTATTTGGACCTCCTGTCACCGATCAAAACTGTACCATAGAGTATCTAATGGCTTGAATCCTCAGTAATAAATAAAAAAACGTCAAAAAGAAATCTTAATTTACATAGCTTAAAAAAACCATCCTCTTTGCCAATACATTGTTCTAACGTTGCAATGGGTTTGCACATGGTCAACATATAAACTTTCGCAAACTGGGGTGGCTACAAGGGTTTTGTTTCATTGTCAAGTCGCTTCGCTTTGTCCTAAGTTATAAGAGGCAATATTTCATGATGAAGGTGTCATAGAATGTCTCAAGTCCATCTCAGTCAAGCCTGCTTGGTCGTTGTAGATGATTAAACTTTGGAGACAAGATTGCATAACGAAGCTGATCCATCAACCCGTGCCTTACCTAGCTACACGTTCATGCTAACCAGGTATCTTATGTCAAGGAGTGAAATCAATGCTTGTATAATGTCGCAAACTCGAATATAAATACACCCTCTTTGACCACCTCTCATCTTATTCAGTCCTCATTCTCATCGGTTGTACAGTACAGCTCCTCCCCTTCTAAGATCATACAGGAAAATGAAGTACTTCACCGTCATCATAACAGCACTTGCTGTCTTTGCATCTGCGCGCTCGGTCAAGCGTTCCACGTGCGCTACCATATGTCCACCCCAAAAGCTTTGCCCTCTTGGATTGGTCTGTCTTCCGCTTGTTTTTTTGCTCCTCTACTTACTTCGTACTCGCTGTACTGTACATGCAGGCTGACGTAGTCACAGAAACCATCGGCCATCTTAACAGTAAGTATAACACTCAGTGTAGGGAGAATACATATGATATTGAGACGAAGACTCTACAAAGGGAGTAGCAGAATACATGTATAAGAGAGAGGGGGTACCGATACAGACCAAGGCCTTCAAATCAGCTAACTTCTACACAGGATGGCTGCACACAGTGCTGCAGTACTCGTGCGTGAACTGGGCGCTAAGAACACAAGAGCTGGTTCGAGTCGATGACAAGAAACTAAGGCTTGGTCATGGATTGTAATAGCAAGTTAGGTTGTTCATCTTTAAGCCGCAGGCGGCACGTTTTAAAGATGACAAGGAGATGTAGCTAGAGCATTCTAAATTACCTGAATGGAAGAAAGTTTGAAAAGAGTACGTGGGGCTCAAGTTGGCCAATGTCCAATCTTCATGAGAATTTCTCACTTTCGGTTGAACCATTTCAATTTGGACTAAAAGCCGCTTTTCTGATCTTGCTGTGACAGACCTTATATGTTAATTTCGTTGTCATTTATAGGTGTTTCTTTTGCCAACCTAGATCCATTATATCGACCAAAGACGCTAATAAGATAGCATGTTCTACCTTTGCGAATGATTGATCCATGCAATTTCTTAGCTCATGAAAACAGGTTGTCATGGCGAAGTTGTTTTAACGGTCGGTTCTCATTTTCGCCGTTTCATGTTGTAACTCCTCACTCTTAGAATCCTTGCGAAACGCGATAGGGTTAGAGATAGTGCCAGTTCCCGCTTCTTGGGGGTTTTTTTTTGAAATATCCCACGATCAGGGCTGAATACGTGGGCGCCGGTACCCCAGAGTACTGTAACTATTGATAACGCGCAGAACGAATACGACCGAAGTCTCATCAGATCCAGAGGTATGATGCTGAGGATCTGCTTCATTAATGTTACAAAGAAGGGCGATTTTTGGAGCTCGTATGTCTTAGTCACAGGAACATCAACGAGTGCCTCCGGAGAGACAACAAAAAGTCTTTCGAAATACAATAGACGCCGGTAGCGTACTAAATTCTCTGGCACATCTTTGAACCCAATACCCTATGGTGTACATATGTAAGCTAAATTACATACGATAAGACAGGCCAAGTAAATATACCATTTACACTGTAGAATCACTCTAGGTTCGGTGTACAGTCTTGAGATGTCTGCACTAAACTGGCCACTCTCCAGTACTTTTCGCAAATATATCAGCGGCGAGAAATACAGTGGCCACAAGAAATCCCCTCCAAAGATACCATAGTGAACTAAGACTTAATACATAGCTAAAGCATCTTCTCAAATTTATGATATCTCGAACAAATAAGATTATGACGCACGATAGTGGAAGAATGCATAGAACTGCAGGGCTCGCCATGGTGTATGCACCTTCATAATGGATGTGGGTGTCGGCAACATTTTGTTATAAGATGACTCTCATGTGACCTCGGATATCAAAACAAGCAAAGCAGGCTGCTGCCGGATACTTAAATCTACTACACGGAAATTCTGAGCATCATCAGGCTCTGGTAGGTGTCCATGTAAGAGATCGGACTTACGATGAGGCATAGCCTGAATTTGAAATTTCTTCAGGTTTGAGACTTACTGATATCATCCTTTAATGGTAGTCAAATTCTGTCAACCCCGAAGCCAATTCTGCATCATAGGTACAGACACGACAACAGGGCTGTAAACGAAAATTGGAACTCTTACCACGATGGATGTCGTATATTGCATCGACGACAAATCATTTAGTCCCATTGTAGATGGCTGTCTCAACGGATTCGATTAACTTTGAAATCAGGACTGCTCTTCTTTGCCACCATTTCTTCGGCAATCTTTTCAGTGTTATCATTTTCAAGGATACCGTCGCTTTACCTATAGCCTATGATTGAAGCATGGCGGTCTTGGCTGTGCATATCGAAGCAAGTATGCACACCCTTAGTGCTACAACTGATATTACCAATCCCTTCAACCCATATGGCAGTTATCTCTCGCTGTGATTTTGTATTATATGCTCCGCCAACTTCATCCTTTAGGCGGCCCTGTTGGTCATGAGCACGCGAGGAACAATGCGGCTCAAATTATCCGATCTCTTTCTATGCGCGTGAATCTTGATCACAAGCAGCGCATTTAAATTGGTTGTTATATAGGCTCACGCTATCCGAATATCGAAATCCTCTGCAACTCGACTCCCTACTTGTCCTGGATGAGGCCATGGCATCCATCTTATCTACTTCCGCAGAATCTGGCGAGCATTGTATCACGGCCCATGTCTTAGCAGCGTTAGTACAATCAAAAATTTGCTTTATTTACTACCAGGCGCATACTTTAGAATGCATCAACACTACCATGACAGTATGCTGCTGTGAAGCAAATTGTATTTATGAATCGGTAACTGAATATTGATTGCAGTAACGTGCTAGCCGCGCCACGGAACCCTCGAAAAGGATGTGTATACATACTCCCGATGAGGAGATACTGGAAAGGTCGGGACCTTGGCGGCTGTCATCTAACCGATACGTAAAAGCCGAATGCTCAATCGGGAAACTATCACATTTACATACTTCAACTTTCCTTAAGCTATCCGCCGGATCAGCACATCTCCAACGGCAATTGCCAAATTCCAGGTCCAAGCGAAAGGCAAGACAAGGACGCTAAATAACAAGGAGAGGACAGACTAAGTCGGCTCGGTAAGCAGCTCGTTTCGCACGTGACTGGCCAGCAGCATCACCACCTTGAGTGTCTTACCATATCTAATGTATAATAATACCGTTACTAGTACAAATCGGTCTTTAACCCGTGCAAAGTATTAATAGTTATCACGGTAATGAGAGATAGCCACTTCTCCAAGTCCTATTCGGTATAGCCGTACTCTTTCCTGAAAAGGTAACCGGTAGACGTGAAATCTGCCGTCACACTGCATGCGTACATCCGCATAGGCTCAAAGGCTGTCTCCCGCTTCCCTTCAAGCTACCATTTTAGGCAACAATGACGGTCTATCCCGTCGACCTCACAATGAAGGCCTTCGTGGAACATGGAAATACATACAGAGGGGTGACATGAAAAAAATATGTTCTTAAAAGTTCTAGTTTTTAAACTAGTATAACTTGCTAAATACCAGAGCTATTCCTAATCAGGT